TTATGTGTAAATCTTATGAAACACACTTATTTATAAATAAATCTTACACAATTTAAAAATTACAACTAAATTTATTGAGACTTGAGTGTAATTTAAAATTAAAATAAAAAATAATAATGCCCCTATTAAAAATATATCACATTAATTAAATAATTTATAATTATTTTATCAATAATTTACAATTATCACTTTCATTTTTTACAATTATAACTTTAATTTTTTATATCAAATATTCAAACTTTTTAATTATTAAATAGGTGAAGTTACAGTTATAAAAAGTTAAAATGATAGTTATAAATTAATGATGAAATAATTGTAAATAATTATTATTAAACTTTTTAATAATGCATGATTGGTTTAACAAACTATTAAATATGTGAAGTAAAAAGTTAAAGTGATAGTTATAAATTACTAATGAAATAGTTATAAATTATTTAATTGATATAATGTATTTCTAACAAGGGCATTATTGTCTTTTAACTCTAATTTAAAATTACATTCAAATCCTCAAGAATTTTGCTATAGTTTTTGAATTTTGTAGAACTTATTTATAAATAATTTTTTATGGGATCTATATATAATTTTTTTCATACTTAATTGTAATTAAAAATATTTTTCATTACCAAAAATGTCCTCTTCGAAGACTCGTCATTGGAAACCAGCCGATTGTTGGAGACTTGTTAGCTAGCGATAGTAGCAAATGATTGGGTTTTGGTAGTCGTCTAGTTACTAGAGCCTAGCAACAAGCTATCCAAATATTATTCTCGGATAAAAATGAACTTGTGGTTGCCAGAAAATGTTTACATTTAGATAAAAATTCAAAATGATGGAAAGTGAAAAGTTAGGTATGATAATGAAGAGGGATTTGGTTCATTTATAATATATCTTCCGAACTAAGTAAATACTGATTTATGAAGAGAACCTGACCCTTAACACTTGAAAAGATTGAGTCAGGAAAACCATTACTTAGACATGGGATTATTTTCCCAAATTTTGCAAGACCGTGCTTAAAAGATATAATAACTCTAAATTTTAAATTTAAATTAAATTAAAATTTTTTAATTGATATTTTATTTAAATTAAATTTATAACAAGTGAAGGATGGTAGTTTAGAAAAACTTATGCTAATAACTTATTTGAAGGTCCAGAGTTAGAATTTTATTAAGTAAAAGTTTAGTTTTATTTTGTTTTAAATTATAGAAAAACTTTGTGCTCTGTCTTGTAATTTTTCTTGTGTCAATTTTTGTAGTTTTCACAGTTTTTCTTTTTGTTCAGAATTTTTTCAGCTGTTGCGTGAAACAGAGCATTCCATTTCGGTTCATTTTCTTCCTTCTCTTCATCGACATAAGCTCTTTTGATTCTTCACCGTTGGTCTGCGTTTCTGTTCCTCACTGTCGACTGCCCTTTTCGCTATCATAGGTCGTCCGCCATCCTTCTACAGCTAGCGTCGATTTGCCTCGGTGAAGTGGAGTTGTTGGATTTTCTGTTCTTACTTGCCCTGCTTCATTTTTTATCTTCTCTTGCTTCATTGTCGGCGTGTATGGTTTGTGAGTGTGTGAGCTTCAATTTATTTTCCTTCCTAGCTACTGGAGGTTTCATGGTGTATGTGGTAAGCTTATTCTTTTCCTCACTTGACCGATGGATGCATTCTTTTTCCTCTTTGAGCTGCTGTGGCTGTTGAAGGAGGGAGCTGGAATTTTGTTTTAATTGTTTTAGCTAGCTGTTAGTGAAGGAAGAAGCTTGTTGAATGAGTCTATATATATTTGAATTTTTAGTTGAAGATGCTCATTTTAGTTGCTCCCTAATATGATTCAAATGTTTGATTGGGATTTAATTTGAGATGTTTTATGTTCTTAAGGATGCTTGAGTAGTGTTCGAAAGTTTGATTTAGGAATTTACTGATGATGAGAAGTTGGAATGAATATATGTGAATTGGTTGTAGTGAGCAATGGAAATGCTCTCAAGATATTTGTTTAAATGCTTATGAGAAGAGTGATGTGTTAACCAATTGACATAATTTAATTTGGAACCTATTCATGGGAAGGAGGAAATTATATTCTGAGATAAGAGATTTTGTTAATGTTGAGAAACTTTAAGAAATTACATTTGAGCTTGACAGCGAGACTGTCTATTTATATCAAGGTGCTTGTTTCTTAATTTCACTTGGGATGTGCATAGAGTGTTTGTTGAAATAATTAAGAAAGCTCTTTTATTATTCTAGTGGGATTATTGTTAAGTTAATAATATGATAAGGAAGTTGTTGGGTGAACATGTATAGTTGTGACGTTATTTGGAATTAATTTAAATGTCAATAATTGTTTGAGGACTTGTTAGATTATAAAAAACTTTGTTAATTGTTGATTATTAGGATATTAAAACGCTTACTTATTTATATTAAGAAAAGAATGAATAAGTAATTTTTGATTGTGATTGATTTACTAGGAAAATTAATGGCACCCTCGGAAGTAAGTGAGAAACTGAAGTGAAGCAAGCTTTAGAGTTGTTGAAAAAAAAAACTCTCAGGTGAATGGATAGTGTCTCAAATAATTTCTCGCAAAGCGTTTATAAAATTTCTTTATTTAAATTTTTATATTAATTGGTTCATTACAGAATTTGTTTTATTTTCATCAAGAATTATGCTATTGTTAAAGGATATTTGGATCCAGTACATTATTGACCGATTATTTATTCTAAACATTTCTATTGTTTAAATTTTATAATTTATATGACAGTTGTTAATATGATGATTTGTGCATGGATAATAACCAAAAAAAAATATGATAGTTGAATATTATATTTTAAAAGGAATGATTTTCAATGAATGTTTCGACCCCATGCACACTTAATTTAATTAAAAGGACTGAGTTCAGAACACTGGATGTTAACAGCAATTCCGTTAGCCCTTGACGGGTCATGGTACACCTAGCTAGTAGGGTGCATTGGAGATGCGAGCCTCATGTGCCGGCCAACACACATAGAATGAAGGATGTAGTTTCGTGGATATAATCTACGCCTATTATTCATGAGCTTTATGCTTGCGCCTACTTTTCGTAGCTTCTTGCCACGCCAGATATGTTACTTATCCTCATGGACTATGCATCCACGTCTGTTAATCATTTTGATTAAGTCCTGTTAAAGAAGGGATTTTGAAATTATTTTCTTTAAATTTGCTTTCAGGAAGTAAACTGCTATATTTTTTTTTATTTTTTTTTTACTATTTTCTTACTCCATGTGGGTTTTATATTGAATCATATATACACACCAAGATGTTTAAGCATGTGTAGAAATTTAATAATTTAGAATTTAAAATTTTAATAATTTCATTTGTATTTATGTATTTTTGGTTTATATTATTTTTAATTGATTATTTTAGTAAATTTATAATTAGCTTATTGATTGCTTTCCATTGTTTCCTTTAACTGTGAATTGGGATGCTACTCACCGAAAAAAATTTCTTTAGTCTCAAGTATTGAGATTGACCCTGCACCTCCTATCAATCATTGAGCGGCATAGTTGTTTTTTTGAAATCGTGGAAGTATGTGTTAGATACTTTTGATGTAAATAAATTTTTTTTATGAGATGTTAAGTTAGAGTTTCACGTATATCGTAGTTAAGTCCTAGTCTGATTTAGCTGACAAGTTTTATTATTGTAGAAATATTTGGTGGTCCTAATTAGAGGAGGAACTTTGCCAAAAATTTTATAGAACAGTTAAAACTTTATGAATTTTAAATTTAGATGTAAATTTATATTGTTATTTTGAATTGATTTTTTAGTTAATTATGGCTTATGGAATGTGAGTTTATCTCATATTACGTGTCAATCATAACCTCAGTACCGAGATATGACAAAAGAGTAGATTTTTCAGCACGAATCATCTGAGTTCTTAGTTTTGTAGACATAATGACCTTAGATGAATAGTATAAATAGGGTTTAAGGTAGTAAAAAGAAGGAACAATAACACAACTCAGACACTTTATAACTCAATTATCTTTTATATCATTTTGTACTTAGGATCTAATTATTCTTTTTAATTTTTTCTTTTGTAATTATGTAACTCAATAGGTTTACACCATTAATTAAGCTATTTTCTACTCTTTATTTGGTGCATCTTTATATTTGGACAAATTGGGATAAAGAAATTTGGAAACCTTTCATTTATAATGAAACTCTACATATCGGGCATGCCTAAAAAACTATTATTGTCACGAACACTGTATTTTGAAATCACCTTTGTATTCAATCATCTCCCATTGTCCCCTTCGTTATTATTATTATTATTATTATTTTGGAGTGAAAAATGATTCAATAAATCAAAGGAAAGGACAGAAGGGAATCTGGTTTACAAATACCCAATTGCAACCTCTTTGTCCTAATTTGCAACTGCCCGTCCTAATGTCCAATGATCATAAAGCACGTGCCAACAAAATGACAAAGGGAGTGCATCACAGAATTATACCCTCATTTTCAACATTTCATATCCATAAATTTTTTTTTATTACAAGGACATGAAAAAAAAAATAACCATGCAAAATTTAAAGAAATTAAGTCACGATAGAATTCAAGAAAATTTTGCATGTTAAAAACGGTTCATTAAAAATAATAAAATTTAAGTTGTCTTAAGATACTTGATATGTCATCATATCTAACGTTGTTATTTGTTTTTCTAAAAATATAATAAATAATTATTCAATTTTTTATTATAAACTTCCTTAGATTTTAGATTTTAGAACCACTTGGCCCCTCGCATGTTTTCGATGCTTAGGGCTTAAGATAAAGATCCAGCTGGGAAATTACACTTTGTGTGCTCCCTCAGCTTATCCAGCTTGAATCAAAGTGGACTTTTCATTTGACAATCGTGATTGTGAAATTTGATTGGTGACACGCTGGCAAAGTAATGGACTTAAAATGTTTCCACATCATACGATCCTATCCAACGGGTCGACTTTGACCAGTATTATGCGATCGATCCTGCCCTCTCGCCAGTATATAACGAGGCGGAAATGGAATCGACTCTGCGTGTGTATTGAATTGAAGGAGAACGAGAGGGTGATATAGGAGAGAAATGGCGGGATTATCCGGTGGTATTCAGGACGTTCAAGGCAGCCAGAACAGCCTTGAGATCGATAGTCTTGCTCGCTTTGCTGTTGAAGATCACAACAAAAAAGCAGGTTCGTCGTTACACTATTTTCCATTCGGTTTTGCCTTACTGAAATTCGTGGGGGAAAGTTAAATATGCGAGTTATTTTGGAACTGGATTGGCCACTGATGATGTGTTTCGGCTTTGATTAATTGATTTGATGAGGTTAACTTCTTGTTGAATCAAATTTCTTAATCCAGATTATTCTTGTATTCTCCAACTAGCGCGATTGATGGTATTTAAATTTGTCGTTCGCATTTCTAATAGCACTATTGGGATTCTCTATTTTGTTCCAGGTCAATTTAGTTGAGTAATAATCGTCTTTTTTCCCCTCTGATTGTGTTTGTTGTACGATTGCAGAATACTCTTTTGGAATTTGGAAAGGTGATAGGTGCAAAAGAGCAGGTGGTTGCTGGCACTATGTACTACATCACGCTGGAGGCAACTGATGGTGGGAAGAAAAAGGTTTATGAAACCAAAATTTGGGTGAAGCCATGGCAGAACTTCAAACAGGTGCAAGAGTTTAAGCTCGTTGGTGATGCCCCTTCTGAGTCTTCTAGCTAGGTATTTGACTACACTGCAGTATGTGCTCTGGTCGGATTTAAAAGTTTGAAATGTTCACTGTTATCCACGTTTGTCTTCTGAGGGAGCACAATTTCTGCTTGTTTTTAATATTTAGAACTAGCCAAAGGAACTCTAAATCTTGTTTTAAAAGTGTTCAAATTTTAGCCCTCTAATGTTTAGTGTTTTGAAGAACGTTTTTGAAGAACGAAAGCATATGGAATTGTTATTCTCGGTTGTTATATGGAACTGTTATTCTAATGGAATAAAACCAAAAAGGGTTGAAGAACATGAGGAATAAGTAAGAACAGCTCAATTCCATATGCTAGTAGACTATATTTTTCCTCTGTTATAAGTTTCTATCCCCGGACTGACTAGGTGTTCATGACGTCCAGACGAATAACCTTGTCATTTATTATGCTTTGCTCCGTTAGAGCTTTAACTTGCAGGAGCAGAAGTTATTGAAAATAAGCACTTTTTGTAATTTTCTGATTTTGCTGTACCAAAGCAGGGACAAGCTTAGAACTTGATCTTGTGATGGCCTTGAGATTGCCAAAAGGACGGCTCATTGATGATTACAGGTTGAAATAGTATTTACGCCAAAAGATGAATCCTTTTGATGAGGACAAGTTAGACAATTACACCTGCCTTAAAATTGAATAATCTCATTGTATGCTCTTAATCACCCTTCACCCATTCTTTTGTATGTCTTTCTGCTGCTCATTAACAGGACCTGTATGATTTAGCTTTAAGCAATATTAGTTGTATTGTCCTTTTGTTATGCTTTTTTTTTTTTCCCCTCATTTCATTGCTTTTCTTCATTTAATAATCCCATTTCAGGTATATTGATTTTGGTTTTACCGTCACATCTCTGACATCTGAATTTTAATTATTGAACAAAGAATTTCTGGTTGTTTTGTAATGAACTTCTCCTTCACATCTGAATTTGGGGTTTGATGCGCCTTTAATGCCTCTTGTTTAGTAAGGTTTGCTAAAAATATGATTTGGTTTTTACTTTTATAGGTTAATGAAGATTCTAGGTGGCTAGCTTGGCTTGAAGGTGGAGTTATTAGGATGTCAAAAGTATGATATATAAGGAATAAAAGTAGCTAATTGATTACCATCTGGATTTATATTCAAGCCTTTACTTATTATGGAAGATGGATGCTTTTGTAATCTTTTTATAAATTCAAGTACAAGAAATATGGTGTATTATGTATTAATATTTATAACTGATGCTCCTTGTGAAGCAAGAAATTGAGGACGACTTGAAAATGCCTATATTAGGGGCCGCTTCTAAAGGGCACCATCCATATCATCATCTCTAGTGTTGATTATATGTATATTTTTTTTTTTTTAGGAAAATCCATATCCGTATTTCATTTGTAATCTCAAATTTTGTAACAAGTCATATTATGTACAAGTCACACACAGCATTGCTCAATCTCTTTTATTTGTAAATCTTCAGACTAACTGTCTATTACATTTAAGGATATAAATTTAACAAATTGATAACAAAAATCTTTAAAAACAAATGATTTATCAAATCTGAAGGATTTAATATTTGTAATGGATAGACATACTGTCTTTATGATAAAATCTTAATTTTTTATTGTAATAATTCTTGAAGTTCTTATAACCTAGAGAAATTCAAGCTATGATTTTCTAATCTCAAGAGTTGAGAAGTAATGAAGCAAGAAATTTAGAATTTGGGAATAATAATTCTAATTCTTTTGTGATGTGAAGTGATAAAAAAAATTATCAAGTTACATTCTGAGTCCGTATTTTTGTCTATTGATGGCCAAATATTAAGGGTACCTGCCTAGTCCTTGAAAATAATTTGAATTGTTTGTCAGGTTCGGGTCCTTGAATATAATTTTTCTCATGTTTCTCTTTTAGAGATGATTTATTTAACAATCATTTGTTACCATGAAAATATTTGGCTTTCTTATTTCTCTGGTAATTTAATATTAAAGATCAATTTAAACAAGTCACACTTTGTAAAATCCAATTTCCCTATTTCCACTGATTATAGATATGCGGGCTAAGCATGGAGCCGAACCCTATTTCACATAACTCTTACTTTCGCGGTTGCCCAAAAAAAAAAAAAACACTTGTTGCTTTTGCCAAATTATAACCAAGTCCTTTTTAAAAGCCAAACAAGCCCTGTATGAATACACCTGCAGCTAAACTTAAATTAGCACAAACACTTCCACAAACAGTAGTAGTGACGTACAATCATAACCTGCAGCATATAGAATTCAGTCACTCATCAAATATTATCCTTCGTATGTATACAAGAATTCTCACATGGGACAAGGATTGTATGAACACTCCTACTGCTAAAATTAACACAAGCACTTCCACAAATAGTAATGGTGATGTACAATCATAATCTGCAGCATATAGAATTCAGTCACCCGTCGAACGTTATCCTTCGTATGTATATAAGAATTCTCACATGGGACAAAGTCCTCGTGCTTGTATTGTATGAACAAACCTGCTGCTAAACTTAAATTAACACAAACACTTCCCCAAATAGTAATAGTGATGTACAATCATAATCTGCAGCATACAAAATCCAGTCACTCCTCAAACGTTATCCTTCGTATGTGTATAAGAATTTTCACACGGGACAAAGTCCTCATGCTTGCTCTCCTGAACTGCCAACCGACTTATATCTCTCATATGCTAGCTTTGCTAGCTTACTAGCTCTGTCATGTGCATAATTGAAGATTTTGTGAATAAGCTTCCTAACCATTTCAATTGCCAGAATGCAGTAAAGGAAAATGGCCAGTGTTATTAGGTAAAGAATGAACAAGGACAAAACATTAGGTGACATAGAAACTGAGAGAGTTATGTAAGTTATCATCATAGAAACAAGAGCAACAGGCAGCAACACCCTGACATAGGACCCGTTTCTGTAGAAGAATATGAGGAAGGCAGCAGCGAAAAACCCAGATGTGTTGAAAGACATGAATAGATAGTAAGTGATATCTGGACAAGAATAAGATTGGTTGGTTCTGTGGAAGATGCACTTGGGATGGTTCTTCATGTCTTCCTTCCAGATTGTTTGTGGAGGTGAAAGGCCAGCTTGGTAAGTGACTGTAGCTATTAAACTGGCCACAACTAGTACCATTTGTTCTAAACTCTCCCATATGCCCTTATTAGAGTTCTCTCCTGTTTGCTGAGAAGTCTGAGCTGTGTCCGCATTTCCATTGTGTGTTATGGATTTAGGTGTCTCTAAGTGGTTTTCTGTGAGGACCTCTAAGGTGGTACTGTCTTTGTCTGTTTTGCCTTTGAAACCCAACAACTCCAGAACCTGCAAGATTATTAAGTTTTCTCACAATTATTGTTTTAGATTTAGCAATCAGAATGTCTCTAGCGAGATGGGCCTCTCTGATAACTTGTTATTGTTAATAAATACTTCCTATGGTCTATAATATAGAGTACTCTAGAAATCATGCTTGGTTCAAAATATAGGACATTTAGTAGTTTCTTATAATTTTTTTCCCAACTACCCCTACTTCATTTATTCTTTTTGAGAAAAATGGTCCATTAAAATTTTAATTGTTATTATTAAAACAATCATATAAGGCATTTGTTGAAGATATACTTACAAAGATGTATAAATTTTTAAAAGATTTAGGTTCCAACTAACTTTTTTTAAATTACCCTATATTATTGACCGGAGGGAGTACATAAATACGCACGAGTGTGTGAGATTGTTTATTTAGCAGGCATTGACCATTAGTTGTTGACTTTCAGTTGCACCCGTTGGTCAACCCAGTGAGAAAACAAGGATTGCTTTAAGCAGATATCAGTGAGTTGTTCTTTTAGTGTTAATGCTATGACAATTTAGAATAACAGGAATAAGAAGAAAAAAGAAACAGAATCATGAAGATAAATTCAGCTCAATATATCTAATCCATGCCAAAAAGATAAATTCAATATGTATGTATTAAAGCGAAGCTATCTTTCTGAACAATAAACCCTTAGCTCTGCTAATACAGTTCTATATATGCTCACAGAAACTTAGAATCTATACCTTTTATTTAAATCACAATCTCATTTCTCTTAATGATTTAATTCATTTTGTTTGATCCCAAAGAGTATAAGTCCCAAAAATTAGAAACTGCATATGAAACAGAAAGCTTACTTGGAGTTGTTTAGTAGCCATGGCAATATCTAGGACGGTTCTTCCATCTCTGTCTTTAGAGGTCATAATCTCATCATCATCACAAAGCTTCACCAAAACCCTAAGTGCTTCAAACTGGTGATTCTTCACAGCAAGGTGAAAAACAGTCTCACCTTGAGCAGTGACTTGTTTGGCCGCATCAGGACAGCAAGAAACCAACTCTTGAATGACACCAACCCTTCCTCTTATGGCTGCATGATGAAGTGGGTTCATCCCAAACTTGTCCTTGAGAAGGCAAAGGTTAGGCCTAAGCTTCAACGATAATAACTCTCTCACTATCTCAGTGTTTCCTGTGGCTGCTGCTATGTGCAAAGGAGTAAAGCCATCTTTGTTCAGCTCCTCTGTGAAAGAAGGCTTTAGACTCAGAAGTTCTCTTACATAGTTGGCTCTCCCTGCAAGTGTAGCGATATGCAATGGAGTTTCTGCAATCTGAGATAAAGCAACTCTGTCTAATATCAAGGGATCGCCTTCCAGTAATTCATTAAGTGCGTCAGTGTCTCCCAATTGAGCAGATTTTACCAATTTTGGATCCATGAGGATAAAACAAAGAAAAGCATTATGTTTTAAAGCACGAGTTGTATATATATAACCTTTGGCATCAAAGATGTTCCAGAGCTTTGTCGAAAGTTAACCCTTCATTTGAATGAGAAGAAAATAGGGAGAAGAGAAAATTAGAGGAAGAAAGTAAGCGTAACATGCATTTTTCCTTCCCGGTAAAAATTTTGTCCTTTAGTTTTTTCCTCTCTCTAGAAGAAATTAAGAAAAGAGAAGGGTGAATTTTTTCCCCCCTAATTTTCTTCCCTATTTATCTATTTTCTTCCTATTCTAAACAAAGCCTAAAAGTCATATTTCTCAATTACCTAAAAGGATTTTTTTTTAATTGACATTATGCATTTAAGATTTTGTTTCTAGAGTTTCCGGAGAAATCAATACCAAACTGATTGAGGAAAAAGAAAAATACCAAGTGGTTTAACTCTTCTAGATGTCATGTTCAGATTCAGATTAGATTACTAAAACAGTCGACTCGTTGGTTGTAGTCAATTCTGCAATCATGCAACAAACAAGCCAAACTTATAGGAAAACTGACTTTTTGGTATTTGTTAGTTCAGCAAGCACATGTCAAAACCACCCTTCAACTTTATTCTTCACAGTTGAGAGGCCAGACTCTTCTCGCTATACAATAACAACAAACTTTATCCTATTAAATGGGTCAGCTATATAGATTGCACTCTCCACTACACCCAATACACAAAGTATTATCTTTCTCATCTTCAGACAAAAGACTTCTAATGCTCAAAAGAGAGCTCTCCTACAGCTCCTACTCCCCAAAATAGACTTTAACACATCACTAGATTATGACTTTTTCCCTCTTACGGCTAGGATCCAAGGATAAACATCTGAACCAGTCACGGTTGTCCCTACTGAGCTATTCTTCTTCCTTGGATTCCTCTGGTAGGTCTTAGTAAAATCATGAGCTCTATCATAATACAAGACACCATTCCACAACCACTAGTGTCCTCACTATTAATTATTATAAAGTGAACTTTATTTCCATTAACCACCCCTATGCTCTCACCGCTCCTGAGTAGAGAGCGGACAGTTAAACAGTGCACATGTCCAACCCCTTATGGTAATACTGACTATACATATCATTATTGGAAGAAAATTGCTTCCTGAGGTAAAGCTTTTAAAAATAAACATGAAACTGACTATGCATCAGAAGTGAGATACACCAACTGGAATAGCAGTATGCAGAGAGATTTTTTTTTCAAGTTATGAGAAGTAAGATCAGTCACTTCAACCTACCATTTCAGAGTTTCAAACAATATTATCTAAAAGATATTGTCAGTAACTCAGCCTTCCAGGGATAGTCGTAAACTAGTGATGCCTCATGAAAATGAAGGATCCTTCGAGGCACGTTGTTGAAGATAACTACAAAGTAAAGGCATAAATATCACTTTAGTTCCATATAGCAATTCTCTGCAATCGCTGTAAACAGGAGACTCCAATACTTCTCAGAATAAGGTGCCTTAAATAACAAAACATACCATTCTAACAAGCACAAAACTACACAAATATGTAATCATGTTTGAAGAAACCCAGTGCAACATAATAGGCATCTGAAATAATCGAGAAAGCACATAGATATTTAAATGTTTTATTATCTTCTATGAATTATAAACCTCCCCTTGTTAGTTACTTTTGCTTATCTATCTTACTGATCTTTCTGAAGCTTTTTTGACTGGAAGGCTAGGAAATAAATGTGTTACTAATATCATATCAAGTGACAAGTGACATGTAAACCAATTCAACAATACTGATTAGCATAGACACGTTAGCAGACTCATAAGATAGGTGGATTGTATTTTACAACGCATGCATAGCAGCAAAATAAATAACAGGAAGACCTATGTGGACCAATAAGAAGCTAAAATAATCTAATCCAATTTCTTTTGTTGAAATCATAATGTTGATAAAAAGGCATGCTTTGACTTACTTCATAGCTTCATCAAGAGCTCCAGGAAGCCTATGTTCCTCATCAAATGCAGGAATTATTAAAGACATATACTTTGTTGCGGGATCAACAATTCGCGGGCAGGGAACCCAAATATACAGATACAGAGCAAGAATAAGTCAACAGACTCAGCCAACTCATGCATCAAACGTTCATCCTCATAATATGTTACCTAAATTCGCAGTTGACACAAATGAAAATCCAACAAAAAAAATATCACATATAATAATAAATGAATACCTTGGTATCTAGAATCTTTTCACCAGCCTTGATTAAAAATGAGTGAGACAGCATTCAAAATCACTCAACTAAGATAAAATATACATTCAGCAATTGCCAAGATGTAAAAAGTTGTTCACATGAAGGATAATGTGTAGTAGGACAAAATTATCAAGAAAGATGTTCACATAGAGTAAATGCAGATCTTCCTATTGAAAAACTTGTGTTTAGAGGTCATATCATATTATACCGTTAAGAAATCGCACTTTCATGAAAAGTGGAATCGCTACCTCTTCCTTGAGCTCTCAGTTCCCTCCTTTGAACAGGAATCACCATTGGGTTTCTTCAGTGTGAGTGATCTGATAATTGAATTGGACAAAATTTAAACATATAATGCTTTTATTAATATTTCATTCTAAAAGTATAAAATCTCATGAAGATACTACCGAAAAATAATCTTATGAAGGTTATTTTTAAAAATTAACTACATTTTCCAATGCCCATTTCTAGAATTAACCTTCTTTGGGTTTCCTTTCCTTAATTTAGGATGTAAGGTTTAAGGAATCTCCTTTTTATTGAAAGAAAAATGAAACAAAGAAAGAGAAGAAGAAATTCCTTTCTCATTCTCATATGAACGATGAAAACTTCCACATGAGCCGACCAATGAGAGAGAGAGAGAGAGAGAGAGAGAGAGAGAAACAAAACACATGGTGTAGTGTGGGTCCTGGCCTCATGGGTTAAGAGGCCTAAGATCTATTAGCCAAGCCTATTTTTCTGGCCTAAAAACAAGAAATAATCGTATTTTGAAAATAACATGTTTTGCCTTGTAGAGCTTTTTGTTTTAGACAGACATCCAAATTAACAGTTAAACAGTTAAATATGATTCGAATATAATCCTCTAAAATTATTTCGAATATAATCCAAAACCCACTTATTTGTTCCCTCGTAAACTTTATATGCAAGCAACCAAAAAAAAAACCTCCAGTGAGAAAATAATCCTAATAATAGTAATAGTAATATTAAAGCACCTTAGCTAGCTAACAGTAAGAAACACTCACCAGTCCACAACAAGAAATACTAAATACATTTTGTAAGCTAGCAGAGTTTAAGGTGATCGCTGATCACTACTGAAAGATTCTTGCTGTGAGTATGAAACCTTCCAAATTTCCTTGAATAACAAGATTTACAAGATACGCAGAAGTTTCAAACATGAGTGAACACACCCACAGTCAAAGTTACACAAGGATGTACACAAATTTAGCCAACCTTATTACATTCATTTGGCTTTCCTCTCATCACATGACACACAACAAACAGTTGTAATTGCCAACTTAGACCTGTACTGATTATTAACAGAAAAGAATATTAATGGAGTACATCAAAATTCATAACAGCTGTACGAAATTGTATCTTCAAACTATAAAGCATTCACACCCAGTGAAGAAGCGGATCATGTTGTATTTGCAATGTCGTTGTTCATTTTTGCATCTTGTGCTGTGTCTCTGTATACGTGCTCCTTGGATGGCGAGCACTTTGGTGCATGATTGAGAAACTCAACGAATTCGATTGACATTTGAGAATGGCTCAGATCTTGCTTTTGGAGCGGGTTTAGTTGCTTCCGGAGCTCCAAACACGTTCCAGAATCTCAATGTTTCATCTGCTGCTGCTGATGCCACTGTACAACCATCTGGGCTCTACAGGTCGAAATGTAACATAATCAGAGAAAAAACTATAATAATCTTGCAAGAATGAAATGAAAGGAAGTTTTGCGCTTAAAAAAACCATTATATATAAAACTCACCTGAGCTAAATAAAGAACTCTTGAAGTATGACCATTAAGCTCAGCCAATTTCACCATTGATGGGTATTTCCAAAGTGTTAGCTGATTCTGGGTAAATCCATGAGAGCTAAGTAACTCCTTCTCATTCTTGTTCCACAACAAGGCACAAACCTGAGACCCAGTGTCAACTGAGTTCAAGCAAGTACCTGTGTGGGTGTTCCAGAATTTAATGCATCGATCTCCACTACCTCCCCCTGTGGCAAGCAAATTTCCTTGGAAAGGACACCAGGCAAGAGCTTTTACAGCAGATGTGTGTTCTTCAAGTCTGTGAAGCCATTGTGTTGCTGTGTTAGAAGATGCCACAGCTCTGTCCCATATGAAAAGCAGATTGTCATTCCCTCCACTGGCTAATTGTTGACCTGAGGCTGACCATTTCAGCCCACAAACCTCTTGTTCATGCCCTCTGTAGGTTTCAACAATGTGTGATCTAATTCTTACATCGTTGTTCACAATTCTACCATCCATTCCTCCTGTTGTAAGCAAGTGATTGTTCCATGCCAGAGACCCAACTCGCTGCCTATGACCACCTCTCAAAGTTCTCAACTGCAGAAACAAACAAGTGAGATTTAGGCTAAGGAGCACAGATATAACACACGGGTTTGTTATCCAAACAAGTGTGATTCTCATAAGACAAAAACCTGTCGATTTGAAGTGGTGTCCCAAAGTTGCACTTCAGAGTTGTTCAAGCCGACAGCAATATGCCTTCCATCTGGAGCCCAGCTGATGCTAGTGATAGGCCCATTTTCTTCATCAACAGTGACAAGTTCTGAAGTAGATCCGTTGCTAGCGTCCCATAAGTACACTGTGTTTCCAAGTGCTATTGCCAGAACATTGCTGCTTCCCCAGTCAAGTAAATTGAGGTAGTAATCATCCACAAGATCTGGAGCATCCAATGTCCTCTCGGAACTCTGCTTAACCAACAATCAATATCAGAACAGAAACGTGGAACATGATTAAGATAACTCGGACCCATGAAATCCGCTAAAGCGAACAGAAACGCGGAACAAAGTTGATAAGAATTAAGATAATAAAGGGAAAATATGAGGCCTAGTGAAAACCACAATCCAGATTAGTGATTAACTACTATAGTAATGAACTATACCTTTTCTCATGCCCAAAGAAGACCTAACCCCTTGTGAAATGTGAAATTGAGTCGTATAAATTGCTAGAGTTTCAAAAAGAATTAAAGTTTTCTAAGGGAGTTTATTCAAGACACCCGAGCTTAATTGAAATCTATTGTAGATTAATCAGATCTTAGGAATGCACCTGAGGAATAAACCGTCGGGGCTTAGCGGATTTATTGTGAAGAGTTGGAGAGGACTCGCGTGGGAAAAATTCAACTGGTTCAGGTGGCTTGTTCTTGAAAGCTAAGATTCGCGTCCGGTTCATGTTCATTGCTTCTGCAAGCTTCATCTTGTAGGCTGAGGGCGAGTTCGCATTGGGATTTTCCTTACCTTTTGCCCCTTCTGTAAGCATGTAGTGTGCATAATCAAAGTCCATGGCTGAACGATTTGGTATGAATCTATCCAACTGGTGATATTCACATCGACAAGGAAGCAGAATAAAAACCATCAGAGACTATATTTTAACGAAAAAAAACCCCAATTTCTTCAAAATAAAATCCTTGACTTAGTGATGGAAAGAAACAACAGCTTAATCGCTTAAAATTCGGGATCGTAGAAAATGCAAATGATTTACGGAAAATAACATGGAAAGAAGCCCCAAATTGCAAGAAGGTTTCTTACATTTTCTCGGGAATTCTTTCTTTGACTAAACTGCTCCTGAAGAGGGCATCGAGAATGTGTTTTCAAATTTGCGGAGGAACTCAAAGATCCTGCATCCATTATCCAAAACACAAAACGAAACACAACAAATACAAAGCAGAAAATACAATTGAAAAAAATAATAGGCAAAAGAAAAAAGAGATAAAAAAAACTGATGACGAATCTGAAAGAAGTCCCTGCAAAAACGATGATAAGAGGAGAAATAATAGAAGAGAATAATGAGAAAAATTGCGAGAGCTGATCGTTGCTGAGCGCGCTGCAGTGAATAGAGGGCTGAGTGAAGAATGAATGTGGCAGATGAGAGGGATTCAGTGAGATTAAATAACGAGTGTTTCTGCATTTCCGATGGAAAAAATAGGGTTTGCCTTCGGAGGGCAGGAGGCGCAATAACGGCTATGTTTGGAAGTAGCCGTTACCAGTTGTGTGTGTGTGTAATTTTTTTTTTTTTAATTTCTCGTGGAGGTTTTGGAATTTCCCTTTGGGAAAAGAGGGAAGAAGATTTACAATAAGATCCCACTTAATATAATTAATTAATTTTAGATTCATTAACAATTGAATTTTTAAAAATGACAATACATTATATGTGATTCTTCCAAACCTGTTTAACCCAACTTACCTTTTGGGTAAAATTTATATACTTAACCTTATATATTTAATACTATCTAATCAAATCAAGATATGTAAATTTTAATATATTAATAATATTAATGATAAAATATGGTTATATAAAAGAATTAATTGGAAATTGGGATGGAAATCTTGAAAAGAATGTTATTTTGGAAAAAATTTCATTTTAGCCTACCCTTAACCAAACATAATGAAAAAAAAAACCCCTTAAAGTATGAAACTTCACTGTATGTCAAAGATAATAAAATAAAATTAAAATGTTAAAAGAAATGACAAGTTTAACCTTGTTTTAAATTTAAAAAGAAAATATTCTCCCTTTCCTCCTCTCTTATTTGAAACTGTCATTGACGCAATTGATGCCCCACCTAATCTCACTCCCTTCTATCTCTCATGCATGGACAACAATTCCAATTCTCCAAGTTCTAACATATTTTTGTAGTTTAGCTTCCATCAATTTGAGCTAGCTCCATCTCTTCCATCTTCTTCACCATAACTTTTTGGAAAAATAACAATTAGAGACCCCATAATGCCATTTATTACAATTAGGGATCCTAAATTATTAAAAATCTCAATAATTAATCATGGTCCTTACTTAAAATTAAATACATATATAAGTTTACAAAGTTTCTCTCCACTTTAAAAATAAAGAAATGAAACTACTGAAATGACTATCATGAGATAGAAATATTATTAATTTTAGTTAGGAAACCAAGAAATAATAGTTGAAAATGCATTATTTTCCAATATAAAGCTAAAATTTACTTTTGAAATTTTTCAATGGCATTTGTGAACATACAATAGTCATTTAAAAATTTACTAAAGTCATTTTTGAATATGAACCCAATGACTTGTGAATTTTTATGTTTTTTAATATATAGGTAGATTTCTTGAAAAATAAGAAAAATGAAACTACTAAAATTACTATCATGGGATGAGAATATTATTCATTTCAGTTGGGAAATTAAGGAACAATAGTTAGAAATGGATTTCCTAATATAAAACTAAAATTCACTTTTAAAACTTTTCAATAACACTTGTGAATATACAATTGTCACTTAAAAATTTACTAAAGTCACTTTTATAAGACATTTTAGAATATTCATATTTTTTTAATTTCAAATAAGGATCATAGTTGATTATTAGTATTTCAATAATTTAGAATCCCCAACTGTAATTAATGGCCTTATGGGGTCTCTAATTGTCCTTTTTTCCCTGGTTATTTTTCTCCTAGTCTTTGAACTTTGGTTCCGTACATTCTTGGCAATGATGGATTTAATTTGAAGAGGAAAAATGTGCATCAATCCTTCAAGATCCCACTTTACAATGAGATTTTTTTATATTCAAAGTATTGTTATCATAGTAAAAAGAAATATAAATTCCCTCTACTAGAGTTGTTTATGTTATTCAATCACTTGAGTATAGGAATTGAACAACTCTTGTAGGAGAATTTACAGCTATCATTAACAAGATAAATAAGTTGTGTAGAGAAATAAACAACTACTCTAGGGAAAATAAATAATTATAGTATGAGAAATTTACAACTCCTTTTACCATGATAATAACACTAAAAATAAAATCAAGTGAAGCTTTATGTAAAAACAACTCTTGTAGTAAAATTAACCACTTCAATATGAAAAATGAATAACTCCAATATAAAGAATTTACAACTCTTTTTACAATGATAATAGTACTAAGAATAAAATTAAGTAAAATTATTCATACAAATAACTCCTATAGAAAAATTAACTAGTTCAGTATGGGAAATATACAACTCCAATATGAGAAATTTATAATTATTTTTATCATAATAACAATATTAAGAATAAAATCAAGTAAAGTTATGTGCCCAAACAACTCATGTAGAAAATTAATCACTTCAGTGTCGGAAATGAACAACTTTAGCATGAGAAAATTTGCAACTCTTTTTACCCTAATAATAACACTAAGAATAAAATCAAGTAAAACTATATTCATAAACAACTCCCTTATCAAAGTAGTTAATTTTTCTATAAAAGTTAGTTATGTATATAGTTTCACTTGATTTTATTTTTATTATTGTTATCATGGCAAATGAAATTACAAGGTTTTCATATTAAAATTGTTTATTTTCCTCTAATAATTGTTTTTTTAACCAATCCTCCAATAATTGTTCATTAACTCTGATCTCTTTTAAATTGAAGTTTCACAAAACCCTAAATGTGAAATGACTTTGAAGAATATGATGCTCAATAGCCTTCACATGCACTTGAAGTGTAACATCCCAATTTAAATTTTAATAGTTAATTTGGGTTAATAGAAATTTTAAAAAAATATTTAGAGGTAAGCAAATTAGAAGGAGATGATTATTAAATCTAATCAGGATATAATTCTAAATTAAAATTTAAAAATAATAATAATAATTAATTAATTAATTAAAAAAAATATTAAATTATTATTATTATTATTAAAAAAAAAGAGAAAATGTCTAAAGAAAGAAAGAAGAAGAAGGAGAAGAAGAAATCGCTTTCGGCGCTCTCCCACGGCAATCATGACACATATATATATAATAATAAAAAAAAGAAGAGAGAGGAAAGAGGAGAAAAAAAAATATGTGGGACCCGCGGTATTTTTTTTATAAAATCACTCCTTCCTTCATTTCTTCATTTCATCCCTATACGCGAGCTGAGGCAGAGAGCGAGCAAGAGAGCGAGCGACATTGATGGAGAGGCTGACTGATTTAGAAGGTGAAGCTCCATAATAGGATACTTCATATGAGATTTTTAAGTATTCTAAAACTAGGTAAGTGTTCTAAATATTTTTCTTAGTCATATTTTCTCTTTGGTTTTTGATTTTGTGGTGGTAGAAAATTTAGGATTTGGAAGAGGGATGAATTTATGTTGAATAAATATGATTTTGAGGTTGTTAGTAGTGTAATAAATATTCTAGAGTATTATTTTGTTGATAGAATTAGAATTTAAGGCATTTGAGTTTATTCCTAGATTTCTATGGGTAAATTTTAGTTAAATCTGAAAATATAAATTGATTTATTGGTATTTAGATTATTATTTGAGATGAGAAATAAATTATTATGGCTATAGAATAATGATTCTAGGCTTGAAATCAAGTTTGCAATTTTTGGGTATTTTTATGTGCGAATTTTGGAATAAAAAGAGAATTTTAATATTAGAAAATATTTGAATGAAATTATTGTGTGAAGGAGACTATAAACCAGTAGATACGTTCAAATACATGAAATTAAATTTTAGAATTCAAGAGACTAAGACTAATTTCTTAAAAATAAATAAATAAATATAAACTAAAATAAAATAAATACTTAGGTGTTAGAGTATGAGTGGAAAATTGTGTTAATAATATTATTGACATATTGGGATATGATCAATTGTAGATTAATTTTCTTTTGACACCATTCAAGATTTGGAAAGCTTTGGAAGTGTTGTAACTTGAGGGGTTAACCTTTGACCTTTCAAAGGTTGAGGTAACCAGGAGAGAAATCTATTTTATACATTTGTATGTTAATTAATTACAATATGTGGTGATGAAAAAAAGAATATATATATATATATATATATATTTAAATTTGAAATAGTTGTTTGTAATGCATGTGTTTTGTTGAGACCTTATGATTTGTGACCAGTTAATTGTGACTTGGTATAAGTAATGAGATTGATGTTGATGATGATGTGCACAATCTTGACTATAAATTATGAATTATATATATGAGTTTTTAAAATGTATTTTTTTATTAGTATGATCATATGGTGGGAGTTCGCCTTAGTGAAGGAGTTAGCGATTGCACAAAATTCATATGGTATTGACTATTAACCAATAATCCTAGGGGTTATAGCCACTACTTACCTTGTAAGGTACTGTAGCATTGTTCCTATTAAGGGACTTGACCCTACTGGCCTACTTGGAGTTTTGGGTAGAGCTAGTTTTGGGTATGACACCCATAGTGTGTGATTTGGAGGGAAACCGTGTTCATAAGTGAGTAAGGTAACCTGGCCCGGTAGCCCCTCATGATATGATTAAGGCTTTGGGTAGTCTCACCACATGGATGATCCCTTTTGGTTGTTGGCCCACGGATTTCATGTCAGAGGAAAATAAGGGGGGATATAAGGAAGAGATTGATCATGCATATTATTATTATCATGCCATTTGAGTGATTGATGGTTATGTTGAGAATATGATTGTAATTGTAGAAATGAGAACATGTAGTAATTATACGAATAATGTATATGTGGCTTATTTGTGCAATTTTATACTTAACTTTATTCTTGAAATTATTCCACATGAGTTAATGTTAATGTGATTAACATGTTATTAATGTGATTGTTTGAATGGTCACCTTGATAAATTTATTGGTCACTTGCATTCATGATTAATTATCATTTATTTGTATAACTTAGATATACTTGGTTATGAGTGGTTGTATTCACCCATCTCTTTTAACATATTACAGGAACTAGCTCATCTGAGAAGAACAGAGGAAAGGAGCATTAGGCCAAGTGATAATAATCACTTCTGTAGGCCTCTCTCCTTTTATGTTGCTATGTGTATTTAGTTTATGCTATTGCCAATTAGGATAATATATTCTTGATCCATTTGCACTTTGGGTTTTGTGTAGGATGAAAGGTAATTTGGGCTCTTAAGATTGTGTTTTGATGCTTGTATTATATTAATGGT